TCTGCACAGCTCATGAGATGTGAACAAATTTCCCATATTTAAGGATCCATGCAAATTATAAATTGTAGTCATGTGACTGGAGTAGAATGAGAGAAGAAATGTTTACATACCTGGTAGCTCATTGGTTTTAAGTATTATTAGTGAGAGATTTATATAGTCCATGTATTTTTTAATTAAGTGTCCTTTTGGATTAATACATTCTTTTGTTCAGTATGGTACTTGATTTCAGAATGGGTAGATGATGCAGGGAACAGTTATTTTGATTGTGGGAAAGCTTAGAATAGTATTTAAACATTAAAATAGCCACATAGAGCAGAAGCATACAGGGTGGGGCAAAAGAATGTTTACAGTTGTTTGGATGAAAAATTATACAATAATTAATAATAATTATTAAGAATAACTTTTGCATACTCACAACTGTAAGCCTACTTTTGTTCCACTCTAAATGAAAATTAATCCTTATTATGTACTTTTTTTTTTTTTTTCAGAAAGTATTAATGAAACTTAGAAAACCTAGAATTACAGCTACAATTTGGTCCTCAGGAAAAATTATTTGCACTGGAGCAACAAGGTAAATTTTATTTGGGTTTTTAATTTTTTAACTTCCCCCTCATGAAAGGAACATTTGTAAACTTAGAAACAAAATCATATGTACAATTTGTTATGTTCCTCAGTATAAAATTGATTTCCTATATAACAATCTTTTTTTTCCCCTAAAACCATAGTGAAGAAGAAGCTAAATTTGGTGCCAGACGTCTAGCCCGCAGTCTGCAGAAACTAGGTTTTCAGGTAACGTTTTCAAAATGTATCCAAACTGCAAATATTCAAGGATTTATTATTGTAAAGTTAAAACTTTGAATTTAGTAGACTAAAGAAATCACGACAGAAACTACCCTCATGATTAACCTTTTCCTAAGGTTTTTATACTGTTCTTCAGTATAAAAAGTTAGTAGCAAAATTTGTCCACGTGGATGTTTTTAAAGGATCCTGACTTTTTTTCAGATTCTTCTTATAGAGAGACACCGGCTTGTTTTCTTACAAGTTAACTACTTTTTTTTTTTTTTTGGCAGCCCATAAGTTTATTGTGTCTTCAAGACACTATACAATGTAGACTCATCTCCCAGAGGAGGGTCTTTCAGAGACAGGGAGCCATCCTCCATATGAATTGCTCATTTGTCGTTTTCATAGGTGGATGGGTTCTTCCTCCTGGATTTCCCAAACTCCTCAGTCCACCCATGTGTAGACAAGATAAAATACTACAAATGCTCGCCCTCCACAGTCGCAGGATCCACTGGCCTCCGTCCGCCACTTCTTAACTACCTTTTTAACTCTTTAAGTTTTTTTCACCTTTAACAATGCCCCACCTCTCCCTCCCCCCAAAACAAACAACCACCAAAAACACCACATATTTCTGATCATCCCAAGAGTAGTATACATATATATATATATGTCAAGATGAGCTGAGAGCTGCAGGACCCTGTTGACATGTACACACTGGTTGGCAGGCTCTCACACTTATACAGTGATCATCGCTGGCTGGGTAACCTCATCAAATATAATTTTGTAGAGGCATAAATTTGAATAGAATTAATACACATTATGCACTTGCTAAGTCACTTGCAGATAATGAGTAAATGAAAGATAAAGACGAGTCCCTAAAGAGATGAGCCTAGGCTCTTTTGAATTTAGATGAGAAGTGATGGGAAGTTGAGTTTCCCTCTGATGACTTCAATCTCCTCTGAGGTAGAAGGTGAGAGGAAGGCACTGACGAGCTGGTGGGTGTGGGAGTTCTGGTGTTTGAAGAGAGGTGGTATAGAGACAAAAAATGGTGGGGCACTTTGCACAATTTTATGGCTTTCTGCAGCTATCTTGTGCAGGTACTGAGTTGGAGGATGGGTATTTATCCAGAATTGTGGTTTTACTAGGAACATTTGAAAAGATAAGATAAAACCAGTCAAGGAGTTGCTGAAGTTATTAATTTGAGAGGACATTATTTTTAGCCTTAGAGCTTCTTATCTTAGCATAAAATTAGAAATGTTGAGAGAAATTCCAATAAATTAAAAGCACAATTTTATCCCTTTATCCCTCACTCTGTCCCCCTAAAGAAAACAAACATCTAAGCTCACAGAAAGATCATTTTACCTTACTGCATATAAGAAAAAGTCTGATCTTTGAAGTTTAGTGTATACTCAACTATTCATTGAGTTTTAAAGTAACAGCTTTTCCATTTAAACTCTTGAGAAGAGGACTGTGTTTCCATTTTTTTTCTATTTGCTCTCCTATCCCAATAGACTGAATATCCCATTTCAAATATAAAAAAACAAAACAAACTAAACTAAACATGAAATTCAGTCATGCAAATATCTCAGGTTTTATTTTCTTATTAAAGTTTTTGAGTTGTTTTTCTTTAATTTAATTAATCACTGATAACTTAAAATACTGGGTCCATGCTTAAGATATTTGTTTTATTTGCTTTTTAAAGATTGAAACTTATTTATTAAGGATTTCTCTGATGAGCAGATTTTTTTGTTTCAAAATAATTCACTGAGTTTTATTTCTCTCCTAAAGGTAATATTTACAGATTTTAAGGTTGTTAATGTTTTAGCAGTGTGTAACATGCCATTTGAAATCCGTTTGCCAGAATTCACGAAGAACAATAGACCTCATGCCAGGTAGGTCTTTGAGAAATCAAAGTAACTTACCAAATTTGAAATTACTTGTCAGGCTATACTTATATTGTGGCTTTCTTTGTGTAGTTATGAACCTGAACTTCATCCTGCTGTGTGCTATCGGATAAAATCTCTACGAGCTACATTACAGATTTTTTCAACAGGAAGCATCACAGTAACAGGTATTTTATGATATTGAAACCAAACTTGTCAATTCTGTATTGAATGAAATAAGAGGTGCCCATACCAAAATAGAAATAATGTCTAATTTGTCACCTTTAGTCACTTTTGCCCTTAAAGGGGAACCAGTCTCCTGACTTTAACATTATAGGTTACTTTTACCTGCTTTCATATACTTTTTTAAAATCATAGTACTTTGCTTCTGTCTTCTTTCACTCATCATTATCGCAGTGGGATTCATCCTCCGTGTAGTGATAGATCATTCATTCTCATTGCTGTGCAGTTTCCAGTGTATAAGTATACTGTCCACAGGCATTTGGATAGTTTCCAGTTTTGAGCTATTAAAAATATTCTAGTATATTTTTTCATAATATTACTTTTAAACTTATAATATCTTGCATTTAAAATACTTAAGAGAATTCAGTTTTATGAACTTTATAAAGGTTTTACATAAGCAAAGATATAAATATAGTTTGTACCTATTTGTTACATATCTTTTGAGTCAACTGTTTGGAAGGGGTGGTTTCTAAACACTAGGCCTAGGTGTCAAAGGGTAGCATTAACTCTGCAGGATGATTTGTACAGGTACCATGGTTATAAGTTGTACAAAGACATTACTTGGGAATCAGACCCAACTTTTGGCACATTTGTGTTAAGGGAAATTTCTTTAGTGTCCTTGAGTTTTTCTTTTTATTCCCTCAATCCTTAAAGGAGAATAAAAATTATTAACACCTTTAAACACTCAGTAAATAAGTTTTAGTTTTGACTCATCCCATGGGTTTTCACACCTACTTCTGAAACTTTTCAAGCTTATTGCCAGGGCTGTGCCTGAATTAAAAGTGGAACACATCTATTTGTTCCCTTCTTTCAACTGTCATTTCTGTACTTTGGAACCCAGACTTCTGAGGGGCCCCAAAGTCTACAGATAAGTCTCTACTAAGTATAGAATAAAATGACGCATATGTAAAATCTGTCTTTTATTGAGTTAATAGATATTTAAACAACACAATAACAAACTGAAGACAACTGACCTGGTTAATTAGGATGCATTATATATTTACATCTGTAATATTTTATGAAATTCTATAACAATTCAGTGAACACATACTCAGTATGTGTTCCCATGGGCAAAGCACTGTACTATGTGTAGGGGTAAACTGAGTCAAGAAGGGAGTGGACCAGTGTAAGACGTATTCAGATTGTCAGAGTATACAGCAGGTCCATATGTATGTTTTTTAGGATCCTTCAAAGGTGGTAAGTATAGTTAGTGAAACCATTTTTATTCAAAATGTTATGAAAATATTTTTTATTACCCACTTTTATGTTTCTTTTGAGCTATTTAAATGAAAGATTACATTTTTTAAAAGTTATTCCCAGCGTCACCTCATTCCCTTGTGCTTTTTTGTGTCCTATTGCCTCAGTAAGCTGCGAGGGTGAGATGGCCAGATTGGTAGTAAACATGTTGCTGCCAAGGAGCAGTAAGCCTGTGGGCATTGTAGACCAGGTGGCTTCTAACAGCCTCCGCGTCCCAGCACCTGGGAAGCAGCTTTGCTTTACTCTGCTGGGCTTCCGACTCCCGCAAGCTTCAGTTGTAGCCTCACAAAAAGCCAGACTGCAGTCTCCAAGAGGATAATGGTTTTCTGGGCCCGTTTGTCCTTTCTCCCGTTAATAGTCCTATCATAGCACTTTCTATTCTCCTCGGGGATAGTTTGTGTGTAGTTTTTTTATCTACACTCTTTTCACACTGGTGCCCTAAAACGAGATGAGTAACATCATTTTTGTTTTAGATTTCCTTTAATTGTCCAGGGAAAATTTTATTCTCTTAGTTTTCATTATGACTGTGTGTATAATTATGTTTGTAGATTATTTAAAACAGTAACCCCCGAAATGCTTGGGTATTTTTAATTGTGAGAACTGAGCTTTTCCCAGTGCTTTCCGTGCCTCTTCTCACCCCTTCCTCCATTGTGTGTGTTTCAGGGCCCAATGTAAAGGCTGTCGCTACTGCCGTGGAACAGATTTACCCGTTTGTGTTTGAAAGCAGGAAAGAGATTTTATAATTCATCACTTAATTGGTTAGAATCCCTAACTGAGCACCTTTTAAAACCTGCTGCACATTGGACTCAAAACAAAAGGAAACTGGACCAACAGTAATTGAGAAAATAGACTCTTTTATTCATTCACGGCTACAGTGTAAAAAGCTCCAGTCCCTTTGGATTTTATTTCAAACTTTGCTGTAATATAAAAAGGAAGTTTACAAGACATGACATTGCTGCTTTTACAGAAGGACATTCTATTTATTTTCGCAGTAATTCTCATGTCCCCATAAGCAGAGCTGTCACAGTGTGCACTACCTTAAATTGTTTTGTTATTTTTTTCCAGTTTGAGCTAATGTGTTTTATTTGTGAATAGTCTTTTACATTTTTGTATGCTGAATATGGGCACCAAAGAACCTGTAAAAGTTATCTTTTTCAATTGAATATGCACAAATAAAAGTTTGGAAAAGGTCTCTCTTCATATCCATTCTATAACTTTTATTCCCCATTTTCTATGAATAAAAATTGTATTCATAATTTTTTTTTAATCTATGCAAGCTTAGACTTTTGCTAAAGTGTGTTGGCTTCTTTTTGAAGTATGTTTTGTGGGAAAAAAATATATATATATATATACCATATATATATATATTTTTTTAATTCTCTGTTACCAAATATCAAATAGAGATTTTTTTTTCAGATTAGAAATAAAAACATGTATATAAATTCTAGGGTACCAAAGTAGAACTTTATAGATTAAGCATAATGTTTTATGTTGCTAATTTAATATGCTAGAAAATGTTAGATAATCTTTTAAAAGTTACAAAAGTGTAGTTTTAAAAAGAGAAACTTCTTACTTACAAGATGAATATAAGAAAGAAGGTATGATGGGTTGTACCTCATATGTACCTTTGTATTCTGGAAAGACTCAACTCTAGTTGTAGGAAAGTAATAATCTTAGGTTGGTACTCAAGGCTATACTGTCTTGTCACATGGTGATATATTGTGCTGTTTTAATAAGAAGTTCCACTAGTTGCCTCTGTGCCACGGTATCATCATAATCTAGTTCAACTTGAACTTGAAAGCCGTTTTGCAAGATCTGTCTTTCCCTTGCTGTGTCTTATGTAAAGAGCTAAAGAGTGACTACTGAGTATATAGGATGGCTACTCTTAAAGTAATAAATATGCCTTTGTGAAACAGTGGCTGTCTGGCTCAGCCACAAGCCTTGGAATGGTAATGCAGGATCAGGCTGCCGTTGTGCTCTGCCCTGTGTGTTTAGGAGTTTAGTTTAAACAGTGATTTTACCTAGAAATAAGACCTAGTCCAGAATCAAATCAGCTTCTCCATAGAGACAATATTCCAACGCAGTCTTCCTCTAAAACCTGAATTTCAAAAATGTTTGAAACCTTTGTGAAAATTGCAATATCTTAACCTCTATATTCTAGTACATTTTCCTTACCGTATTATAAATCTTGAAAACTTAGTTTAAGCACTGCACTGAACAATACATATTACTTTGTTTTTGTCGTCTTCTCTATATCGTCCCCTACCCTGCCTCTCACTCCCTCATAAGCAGGGGCAAATGCTAACTTTTGTATTTTCTTTGTTGTGAAAAACTTAACTGTGATTTTCAGAGTTCTCTTGTCCTTACTTTCACATTTGTGTTTATTTGCTTCATTTAAAGTTCCAATAGGATAGCTAACCTCATAAAATAGAGAATAAAATTCAATGAAAAGGTTACAGGTTCTGTGAAGACTTTTGAAATTTGAGATTTTCCACTTATTTTTAATTAACAGTAATTAATAAGTGACTTCCGGTTTGCTGTGTTCCCAAAAAAGGAATATGGAAACGGGGAAAAAACATGATTATATGGCCAGGGTACGTAACCAGATGTCATGACATTTTCAGTATTGGAGTGACTTAAAAACTAATAGATCAGTAAGCAGCTCATCAGAATGCTTTCTTGGAAAAGAGGAGGAAAGACAATCTGGCCTGGTCTGGTTTCAGGCTGCAGGAGCGGCCCCTGGCCGACTGGCCTGCACAACCCGCGGAACTTAGCAAAGCTGGTGAGAGAGGAGCCAGTTGGTGTCTTTTGCTGGCTTTTCACAAGTGCTGTAAATGTTTTTATAAATAAAAACTGTGACTATATCCATACAAATTCGAAGTATTTCCCCTTTTATTTTTGAAAATCAAAAAGCTCTGATTGGCGGTGTATTGGGTGAAAATTAGATTGAAGATAGAGTTGTTTAGTTACAGACTCAATAGAAAAGAAAAATATTACAAAGCATTTTAAGATACTGAAGTTGATATCACTAGTAATAAACATAATAAATAGGTTGATAAACAGTTTCCTGCCCGTTAACAAAGAATGACTAAACCAAGATAGCTAAAGTATATATAGCATTTGAATTTCAAAGAAAACATAACAATTTTGTTAAATATCTTATATTCTGTGATGCTTGGCAAAGCACAAAAATTTATATTGATTACCTATCTTGATTTTTTAAAATCTCAATATAATTCCACTGAAGATTCATAATAAATTTCTTAAATTGATCCTCTACAGAACACACTTTCTCTTCTTCAAAACAAATAAATGGGGGGAGAAAAACCACACCAGTGCATGCTCTAACTTGCATATGAAATGTTACACAAGACCCAGTGCAAGTAGTGTCTTCGTAGGGAGTTGTCCTGAAGTCTGAACTTCATTTATCTCAAATCTCCTTTCCTCATAACTTCCCCTGCCAGTTTTAATCGAGAGAGTACATTTCAGAACCAGGACTGTTAGACATTCTCCTGAGTCTCTGATAATATAGTTTTACTATTTTTTAATACTCTTTTTAAAAAATATATTTTTATTGATTTCAGATAAAAAGAAAGAGGGAAGGAGAGAGAAACATCAATGATGAGAGAGAATCATTGATTGGCTGCCTCCTACATGCCCCACACTGGGAATTGAACCGTGACCTCCTGGTTCATAGGTTGATGCTCAACTGTTGAGCAATGCCAGCCGGGCTAGTTTTACTATTTCTTACAACAGTTAGTCTTCCACTTTGTTACAAGGAAATGTAGTATCATATACCCTTATATTAAGCTTGGGACAGTTTGTTACGTCCCAGGAGGAAAATTCCAGGCTAAATAAAAAGGGTCCTTGTTTTTGACTCAGGATTCTCTTTTCTTCAGATTAATCATATTTTTGTATTCATTCTCAAGTTAGGTTGCTCATTAAATTTTTTTAGTGTCTTCCATAACTTATAATATTAGTATGTAATGGATTACTACTTAGTGGTTTGAGATTCTTCACTGTAGATTTTCTATCATATCTAAATTCTATAGGTAAAATGTTTCACCAAGTTTTAAAAGTCAACTGGAGAAATGCACAAGAGAGCAACTCATTGTGTGGGTGGAAACCCAAGTTTCTGGTGCAGTTGGCGATCTCTGTTTCAGCATAGAGAAGAACAGCAATTGTCCTGATGTCTGAATGTCATGTATTATGGCTGTAATCATCTGAAAGTCAGCATTGATTATAGCCTGTATGCCATAACCTGAGGTAGTGATAATCCTGAGGAGTGCAAATAGTTACAGGAAACCGGATCGCTATTAAGTTATGAATGCCTTACAAAGAGAATTTTATAAGCTTGGCTTGAAAAGTCAAATGTAATTGCTTAGAGATTGGGATAAGTAATCTAATGGCCTGACTCCTAATGTTTTACTAACAGCTACTTCTAAATATATATGGTCCCAGGAATTTCATATTGTCCTTTCCATTCATCTTTTTTAAATGGATGAGAACATGCTTATTTTTCTCAGCTATTAAAGAATTATTTTTCGCATTATTTTATAATGCTAATATGAAATTCACAAAAGGTACTTTACATTACATTGTAGTTCACAATTCATAAAATAAGATGCATAATGTTTGTAACCTGTTAAACTGTAATTAGGATTTATCACTAAAATCCTAGCCAGCACCCTCTCCTAATGTAGAACTTATGTGCAATTGTCCACATTGTGTTCTGATTCTTTTTTACACAAGACCCAGTGCAAGTAGTCTTAGTAGGCAAAAAACCACAAGCTTGTGTTTAGACAATTACGTATCTGAATGATAAAACCGCAACTGGCCTCTATACATACACAACTGAAGGCAAAGGTGATCGTATCCCTAGTTCAGTCTGTCAAAGCTACTCTGTGAAAAGGTGCGAAGTGTAGAACCAGCCAGCATTTTTTTTACCTGGTATCCTGCTTAGAATAATAAAGAGAGTCTTGGGGCCTTCTACCTCATTCACCTATTGTGGGTGGAGATTAAAGGTTGTTTTTATAAATTAACTTCATGACACTAAAGACAAAACCTGGCATTGGTCAACATGTATTGGTATGAAGACCCCGTACTAAACGTTCTTATACTGTATCAGCATTTATAAGGTTTTGAGGCCAGTAGGTCTCTGGACCAGACTGCCTTGGTTGTCCCCCACCACACAGCTTTTACACTCCAAGAGCTGCTCTTGATGTTTTCTTTTTTGGAGTTTTTTTGGCGCCAATTCCTCTTGGTCATGACTCATAAAACAAATGTTGTTTTTCACATAGTTCCTGAAAGAGAAAGAGGCACTAATGAAATTGTCATTCTTAGTTTACAGTACTTGAAAAAAATGTGCAAGCTATTCTTTTTTAAATCTCTCTGGGCTTTAATGTTTTAGCTATGCAAAAAAAAAAAAAGACTTTTTTTTTATGGCAGAGCCTTGATGTATCATAGAAGTGAGTGTACCACAGAACATCGGTGTGGGGTCTTCTCAGGCACAAGTCATTCCTATATGATATTCAGAGAAAGACTCTAAGGAGAGAGTTGCATAGGACTAATGGAGGTACATCCCAGATCTCTCATTCTTTTCCATTTCTTAAACTCGGCCAATATGCCTTTAAATATATATATCTACATAATCCTATTTTTCATTGTTCCCTCCTGCATTAAATTCTTTTCTACAGGATTATCCCCCTCAGCGTGAAAATATGCTCTAGTATTTCACATTTATTAAAAAAGAGAAGTCTACCTTTGAACCTCTCTCCCCTTTCAAATAGCTTTTTCTGGAATTTAACCAGTTTATCAAGTGACTGCAACGTGCCTAGTACTAGGGTAGGGGCTTTGGATAGAGAAGAAAAAGACTCCTGTTTTCAAGAAGCTACATTTTAGTAGAGGGGATAGCACCTAAGCATATAATTTCAAGTACTGAAAATGCCAATGAGGAAAAGGGGGAAGGAATGACTTTTTTTTTTGCGGGGGGGGATGACATATGCTGCTGGCATCTCTAAAGAGGTAACATTTGATCAGAAACTGGAATGGAATGAAGTTAGGGAGGAAACCAAGTGAAGAATTGCAAGTAAAGTACTGTACCTACAGAAAGTAGCCACCAATGGCTGGAGCATTGATGAGTACATGAAAGGAAAATGGGATCAAAGACTTCTTTTTTTAAGATGAGGAAAAAATACCATACCAAGTTTCTATGCTAATGAAGAGGTAAAATATGGATGATGCAGGGGTGAGCAGGGAGAACTGTTGGAGAAGAGAAAGGGAGCCAAGTGTTTGACCTCACATAGGAATGATGGAGCTGAGAGAGAGATCGGGGAAGGTGTATTGGCTACAAATGTGAGGGTTGATGTGGAAGGTTATAGAAGTTCCCTTCTAAGTGTGTCCTTTTAATGAAGTCAGGAGCAAGGCCATCAATGGGAGTAAGGAGGGTGAGGAGGTGGGGAGGTTTCCGGAGAGGTGTTACTGAGCAGTTACCTAGGAGAGAGGCCAGTAATGGACTAGGGATGTGTGTGTAATGGCCAGACAGCATCGAAGGCCACCTGAAGTCAGTGTTCATGGTTTTAAATGAGACCAGGCCTATGCTTGTGTGCTTTCTCAGCCAGGTTCATCTATGTGACTGCAGAGGAGTAAAATGTAAATTAGATCATGTCATTCCTCTGCTTAAAATATTTTAGTAGCTTCCCCTTACACTTAGAATGAATCCAAACTCACTCAGATTATAAATCTCTACATACCAGTATCTATCGAATTTCTAAACTGGATCTCAAAGGTTGCAGCCTCCTGGATTTCTTTCAATTCCTGGAACAGTTCAAGTGTTTCTGCTTTATCCTTTGCACTGACTGTTCTGTTGGCTCTTGATTATCACTTAGATTTTATTTTAAATGTTACCTCTCAGAATAATTTCTCAGCTCACTCTATTGAAAGTAGCCACCAATCACTATTTTATCAGTGCATTTCTGCTCACTGATTAATTGTAGCACCTAGAATGATGCCTGACACATAATAGATGTTCAGTAAATATTTATTGAATAAATGAATTTGGATGAAGGAAGAAATGGCCACATAAAATTAATTATTAAAAGTGAAAAAGAGCCTGGCCGGTGTGGCTCAGTGGTTGAGTGTCGACCTATGAACCAGGAGGTCAGTTTGATTCCAGGTCAGGGCACATGCCCGGGTTGTGGACTTGATCCCTAGTAGGGGGCATGCAGGAGGCAGCCCATCAGTGATTCACTCTCATCATTGATGTTTCTCTCTCTCTTTTTTGCTCTGAAATCAATAAAAAAAAAAATGTTTTCTAAGTGAAAAATAGGCCTCAGAACTAAAATATTTACAAAACAAGAACTTTGTTTCCTCTATATGTTTCCACTTAAGTTGGAGGAAAGTCCAACTGAAATAGCACATGTGGCAAATGTCCCATTTTGAGTTTTTAACTTGCAAGGCAGGAGTTCAAAATAAAATCCTTTCAGATTACATTTTTGCTGGAATCTTTCCCAACCTCTCAGCTGAGTCACTTTATTTTATAAGAAACTTAACAACTTTGGAAGAATATTTGTTTTCTCAGGCTGGTAGGAATAGAAGTAAAAGAACCCAACTCCAAATACCAGAGAGGAAAATGTTAGGCAATGTGTCCTATCAGATTTGGAGTTGATATTAGTTTCTTTTCTCACTCCTTAGCAAATCATCGGGATACGCACATCAGGACTATCGCTTACCCTGGTGACAAAAGTTAATTCATTGTTTCCTTAACTCCTAAATTCACAGACCCCCGTAACTCAGCAGTGTCCTTCCTCAGTCTTTAGATTAACTCAGTGGTTCTCAACCTTCTGGCCCTTTAAATACAGTTCCTCATGTGACCCAACCATAAAATTATTTTCGTTGCTACTTCATAACTGTATTGATGCTACTGTTATGAATCGTAATGTAAATATCTGATACGCAGGATGGTCTTAGGCCACCCCTGTGAAAGGGTCGTTCGACCGCCAAAGGGGTCTCGACCCACAGGTTGAGAACTGTGGGTTAACCACTGGGTTAACTTCTGCTTCCCAGTCCTCGCAAGGTCCCTGGGCTTTCTGCCACCCCACATTTCCTTCGCTGGTTCCATAACTTTTCAGTACCATTACGTATTTTATTCTTATTTCTGTCTCTGACATTTCCCTCCAGGGAACCTTGCTACAGGCATATTTCACACATACTTTGATCAATCTACACACTTCAAGCTGCTTACATTTTCATTTTCAAAGCCTTTGCCAACCTGCTGCGTCAAGCTAAGACAAGCCCCAGCCTCTAGTGTTGCATAAATGGGAACTCTCCAAGATTTCTGCAAGCAGCTTTGGTTCTTGCCTGCCATCAGTCCCGGGCTCCACCACACGGATACACCCCAGCAGATGCTCCTGCTGCTATAAATGCGTTTAAAATGCAGGATTGTTTTGCCACCTCATCTTTCATACTTCTCTGCACCAGAGCCCTTACGTGGTTTTGTTCTTCAACACCAGCCTCCCAGCGCTTGTGTGGTCTGTCTAGGGGTCGACAGTACCTTGGCTTTCGGTTCTATCCTACTTTGCAATTTATCACTTTCTTGGAGAGGGTCTGGCTTTAAGTTTGAGTTATTGCATGACTCAAAAGTAACAGAAATATGATTCTTGTAAAAACATGTCCTGATTACTAATTTAGATTCCTTCCCCACCCCAGATGCTGACAATAGTTTTGTTCAGTTTTGGATCACATGTTCTTGGGGAATGTCTTATTCTGGAGATCTGCTAGAAGGAAAGATGGGCTTCTCTTAAGTTTTGCCTTAAAATTTTCATTTGGTCTGCAGTTTGATACGTTCCGACAGCCCCCTGTGAAAAATAGATCTAACAGTTTCTTAACCTGAACTCGGCCTTCAAGTTGTACTTTATAAGAAAGAGTGCAAAAAAGGAATGATAATAGGGTAGCTTCCTTTGATGAATTCATTACCACTTTCTCCCTGGTTCAGTGTTTTAATCATTGTGTTTTAAGAATTTTAACAAACCTTTATATTTTAAGGGATTTTGCTCCTCCAGCTAGTAGATGGGTAGCTCAAAAGCGCATATACCCAAGGTGGGTTTCCATAACGCCAATGAAACAGGCCCCAGGACCCCTCACCCGCACAGCCCTTCCAAGACGCACACTGTCGTGTATAATTTTGCTTTCATAATTTGTGATATTTTTCTTAAACTGGGCCCTCAAAAGCTTATTAAGCTCCACAAAATGTGGATCTGCCCCTGCTTGTGGACCTCTGTGTTGAGTACCAAATCTATTTCTCCAACGTAGATATTTCTCCTCAACTCCAGCTCCCAGTAAACACTGGCCTTCTTTCCCCATCACTTGCATGTTCCATAGGCACCTCAGACCCTGTGCAAACTGATGAGGGTTAATCCCTGACCAGCCACCAGACTCCTGCCTCCCAAACCTGCCTTTCTCCTGCTCTGGGTCTGACTTCAGTGAATGTCCCCGTGTGTACCGGGTTAGTTCTCTAAGCTAGAGAGATCCCTGTTCCCTTAACTGCCTTTTCCAGTCTTGCTCCGAGCTGTGTAGATTCTATCCCTGCACCAAGACCAGCCTCATCGTTTCCTGTCTGATTCTTCCAACACACTCCTCAAAGGTCTCCCTCATTCGCCATCCCCCCCGTCCTGTTGCTTTTATCATGCCCACTGCTTTCAGGATAAAAATCCAAACTCTTTACCAAGATGAATCAAGATCCTTCTTGACTTCTCTGAGCCCTGTGCCCTGGGCTCACCTCTCGATCCCCAGCTCAGAACCTGCCCTCTTCACCCCCCACCGGTAAGTGGACTGGCCTCCACGTGTGACCCCGCCTCTGACTTCCACACGGTCCCTTTGCCCAGATAACTCTTTCAAGACCTTGCTCTGGAATTGCCTCTTTCAGGAAGCATTTATAGATGAAATCCTCCAATGCACTTTCCTTTGTGTCTTCCAACGCAGTGTGTTAAATGTCTGTTTTCTTATCTGCCTCTTAAAGAAGCTATGGACTCTTTGTCTCCTGTATCTTCAGTTCTTTCCTGGCACAGAGCCGGCCCATAGGAGATGGCCCACAAAGAGCTGAATAAGGAATGTCTGGAGTGGTGGAGAGGGAGTGCCTTGGGATAGCCAGTGTGTCTCACTCATCTGAACAGACCTCTTCCTCCTCCCGTTGCACAGACAGATTAAGTCACATCCTGTGACCCACAGAGCAGTTGCCTTCCTGACTATTGTATTTCTCTTTGCAAATGAGTATCATTTTCATTTTCTCTTAAAAACAGGGCCTTGCCCTGGCTGGTTTTGCTCAGTGGATAGAGCGTCGGCCTGCGGACTAAAGGGTCCCAGGTTTGATTCGGTCAAGGGCACATGCCCGGGTTTCGGGCTCGATCCCCATTGCAGGGTGTGCAGGAGGCAGCTGATCAATGGTTCTCATCATTGATGTTTCTATCTCTCTCCCTTTCTCTTCCTCTCTGACATCAATAAAAATATATTTTAAAAAATAATAAAAACAGGACCTTATCTTTATCAAAAATTACCTGTATAGTTTGATGTTTAACTTATGGCTTGAATTAAGAGAAAAGTTTTTCTGCTTTTTACTAAAGTGATCTGTTTCTAAAATGTGAACCATTTAAAAGTGTATAAAGTAAAAAGTAAAACATTTCCCACAATCCTGCTGACCACGCACCTTAATAAACGAGGATTAACAGTTTGGTCTATATAAATACACATGCCTCCCATCACTCAGACAAAAGCTGGAGAATCACTATGCCCACAATTTCAGTAGCAATCACACATTTCTCTCTAGTGGATTGAAAGTATCTTTAGAAGAAAGTCACAAACTATAAATATATTGTTTCCTCCCATTTTATTCAAACCCAAGAACAAGTATCTCCACATTTTCAAGTATAAGGTTTGACTCCTGGGAAGGATAACCAGTTCCCCTTCATTCCTGGCCCGATGCACCACCCCTTCCCCAGGCCTGTTTCAGCCGTTAGAACTGTGAGTTCTGCTACTAAAAGAAAAGGAATTTCTGACCGCCCACTTCTAAGTGAAATTGCTAAAGTGATGCCTGCATTTGGAATTTATTTAACCGGTTTTCTGAATGCAAATTACCTAAGAAACTCTTAATCTTTCTTAAACTTACTTTGTGCCCTATTTGGAATAATGTGTAGACATTTAAACCTGAATTTTCCTGATAATCTTAGCCTTAGCAAGGGCTTAAAGAGACCGTCAGGTAGGATAGAGCTGGAAGAATTGAAGCCTGTGCTTCTAACACAAGGTGAGCCTGATGTTCCAGGATCTACCCTCAACCCCAAACAAACCCTGCATCAGGGAAAGCTGAGGAGATGGGAGGGTCCTTTGATCATTGCAGAAAGAGCTTTGAACGGTTCACTTGTAAGAAAGCATCGATTATTCTAATTCCTTAGCTGAGTCACCCAAACTAAATACACATCAGAGTAACTGGAATTATGCTATGAGATACGGTTCCACACCAAAGAAAATATCCTAAAATACTTTCAGATGTTATTATGGTTTGGTTGTATATAAAAGCTGCATTTATTTATTTATTTATTTATTTATTTATTTATTATTTTTTTTTTTTACCAAAAAGTGCTGTTTGGAGAGCAATGCACATCATACTTACGTTTTTGCCAGTTCCATTGATATTTGTTCCAAAGAGCATCCCTTGGTCTCAGGTATAAACACGACAATGAACCCCAGGGCTGTGAGACTCATGATCGCATAGACGAAGCACACCCAGGGCAGGCCAATGAGATCTACAGGGGATGAAAGGGATTGGTTAGAAATGCATTCGGTGTTGCTTTGATGCCACTTGTGGACAGCCGCTTCTTAGAGCATATATAAAAACAGGTATTTTCAAACACGAGACAGTATCCTGGGAAATTAAAGCTACAGCCAGCCTCGGAAAGCTTCATGTTTTCAAACCACCCCAGCTTTCTCTGGCAGAATAAATAGCAGTCTTGCAACCATCACAATGTACACCCAATGCTATCTTTTTGGTGAGCATGCTTTTCTCTTTGCTCACTGCAAAAAGAGAACTGGAAACATATAAAACAGAAGGTAAAATATCTCCTCTCTCTCTTCAGGCTCCACAATTCTTCTCTGAGAATCACTGCTATAGCAGTTTGCTTTTTATTAATGGACATTTTAAAAGACACATTTATACAGATAGATTTTCTTGGAACAAACTCACCCTTCTGTACTCTGATTTGAATAAATCATTTACCTACTGGGAATATTTTATCACTTAGTAGCTAGTGTATTTGCAATACTTCTTCCTGGATTTACAAAAAAAAGGCATGATGGTTCCAATGAAAGGCATTCGCTTGCTCAGATTCAGCAGCAAGAAGCCTAGTTTTCCCTCAAACCACTTCCTGCCGAAGGTACAGTTCCTCTGCAGTTACTGACCAAGGCCAAGATACGTTAACCATTAGCTGGCTAACTGGTGCGAGATGGCCCCCTATGCACTTGAGCCTGCATTTGCATCGGGCCAGCCCCTGGCTCTGCAGCAGAAAGTCCAGAGTGGCAGTGGGTAGTGAGGAGGCAGCTGGCCCTTCAGACCAACCACAGGCTGGAACTGTGCAAACAGCCCTCAGCAGCTGCAGCCACAAATCACGACTGGTCAGCCAGGAACCTGACCAGACAGTTATGTATGAGACAGTTCCGTGAGTGCAGTGGAAGGAGCTGAGCGTATAACCACCAGTCAGCTGTGCCAGGGGGAGAGGCAGGAAGCAGACACAGCACTGCTATCCTGGCGTTTTATTTAAACTGATGCGTCTGTGCTCTTCTCGCTGTCAGCATAGGGTCTGACCCAAGTGAGTGCTTAATAAAGTGCTTGTACAATTGGTCCTTTTCCCCTTCTGGGGCATAAAACCAGAATAGAGAGTAAAAAACCCCAAAAGGTTGTCTCATCGAACGTGTCTCCTGTTCTGTTTTACTAGTAGCACTTTCAGTAACAGGGGGCTCGCCACTTTCCAAAGATTTTCTGTGCATGGTGAGCCGGCCCCACCTGTTGAAAAGGCCTTCCTCTTCCGTTCCTACATGCAAGTCCACCTTTCAGAAACTCCGGTTGGAGGTTCTGCTTTGCCCTTGGGGTTGGCTCTTCCCATCCCTCTTCAAGACAGCGTTCAAATGTGTCTGTGCACCTCCACCCCTCCCTGAGCATCCTCTCCTCCAAGTCAAACATCCTGAACTCCTGCAACTGTTCTTCACAAACCATGTTAGAGAGGACACGTGTCTCCAGGTGTGGGTCATTCTTACTAAAGGCTATTCTTGCCAAATGCAAAAATGTAGCACAGTATTTTGCAGACCAGCTGTAAGGCAGATAAGCTGGACAGGAACCCGACATAATACATGTAACAACATATAACCGACCAAATAGTGCATATAAGCAATGGCTAAGCCTCCCTTGGGGGGCAGAGCTTTGGATATCGATCTCCTGTCTCCTTTACCTGCTGCAAGTAAATAAAGCTACCTAACATGTCTCATTCTTGACTAGAACACCCAAGCAGCGGACCCCTTGAGTTTGGTAACAATAGGTCACATGTTCATGTCATCTAGATTGCACTTGCACTTGCTTGGTAGACACACTGCAAGCCTCTTAAAATATTTAAACAACCTTCTTAAAAATATTTTACTCAGAGCCGAGCACAGCACGGCAGCTGTGTCATACCCCCTGCGAGTAAGTCTGTCTCTCTGGGACACTCCTTTATTGACAGCCGAACTTGCACTAGGAAGGCTGGTGTCCAAGGACTTGTACCCCTATGTTTTGACTTGGAAAACTGATTATTTGAAAGTAAGTATAGAATTTCAAATTTAGCCCAGTTAAATGCCATCTACAGATTTCAGACTACCCCAGGATTTGTAAAAAGTGGATTCACTTTCCCAGCGTTGGTTCTACAAGCCCATGAGGACATCACATATATTCACTATTCTTCCCAGAGGTTTGTGTCATCTTTTTCTGTCCCTTATCATTTTCATTCTTCCTCTTATATTTCTCTTTCTCCGCATCAAATAGCAGACTAGGGTGTGTGTGTGTGTGTGTGTGTGTGTGTGTGTGAGATAGAGAAAGTGAAGGGCACAGGTCTCTGAGTGTGATTTGAGTAGGAGAGGTACGGTTGGTGTTAATGACTAGTTCCTGTGTTTCCTTTAATCTTGGGCTATTTCTAAAAACGTAGGAAGGATACAAACATTTTAAAATTTTATATAAAAACTTAAACCATGCTTATTTAACAACTCCAAAGGTTCCGTAAGTAGATGTACTTTAAAAAAAGTGGTTGACAAGATTCAGAAGTACTATATAAAGATATCCTGTCTAATAAAAGAGTAATATGCAAATTAACCATCACACCTTCACTCCGTCATTCCGTCACAAAGATGGCGGCGGCCACGGAGCTGGAGTAAGCAGGAGGCTTGGTTGCCCCCGGTGATGGAGGAAGCCAAGCTTCCCGCCTGCCCTGGCCGGCCCTGAGCTCCACTCAAGACGACAAAGTTTCAATTATAGAAGATAAATAAATCCCAGATACCTGCTTCCAGCCCACGGCCATGGCCAGCCTGAAAACTGCCCTCAGCCCCTCACCCAGGCTGGCCACACCCCCATGAGGTGAGGGTCCCCACTGGGGGGCTTGACCAGCCTGCAAACAGCCATCAGCCCCTCACCCAGGCTGGCCAGGCACCCCAGTGGGGACCCCCACCCTGAAGGGGATGTGGCCAGCCTAAAAATGGCCCTCAGCCCCTCACCCAGGCTGGCCAGGCACCCTAGCGGGACCCCCACCCTGATCCGGGACACCCTTCAGGGCAAACCAGCCAGCCCCCACCCATGCACCAGGCCTCTATCCTATATAATAAAAGGATAATATGCAAATTGACCCTAACAGCAGAATGACTGGGAATGACTGGTCACTATGACACACACTGACCACCAGGGGGCAGACGCTCAATGCAGGAGATGCCCCCTGGTGGTCAGTGTGCTCCCACAGGGGGAGCTCTGTTCAGCCACAAGCCAGGCTGATGGCTGCCAGCACAGCGGTGGTGGCAGGAGCCTCTCCCACCTCCTCAGCAGCACTAAGGATGTCCAACTGCAGCTTAGGCCTGCTCCCCACTGGCAAGTGGACATCCCCCGAGGGCTCCTGGGCTGCCAGAGGGATGCCTGACTACCAGCTTAGGCCCGATCCCCTGGGGAGCAAGTCTAAGCCAGCAGGTGGACATCCCCCGAGGGGTCCCAGACTGCAAGAGGGCACAGGCCAGGCTGAGGGACCCCCCCAAGTGCACAAATTTTTGTGCACCGGGCCTCTAGTACTAGTATAAATATCTACATTTTTAATATACATCCACTTTTGAGAATTTATATATAATATATTCATATTATTCACATTCTTCCAATGATTTTATGATTATTTTTATACTTTGCTTCAATCACAACCCAAATACATAACTTAAAATTGATTGATATGTTTCTTAAAATCTGTAGGTTTTACCTCCATGTCTCCTCCCCACCCTTCCCCTCACTTTACATTTTTAATGAAGAAACTGGGTCATTTGTCTCATAGTTTTCCCCAGGCGGGATTTTGCTGATTGTCGTCATATCACATGACCTTCTGTCCTTTGTTTCCTGTAAGCTGCAGTTTAGATCTAGAGCAGCGATTTTCAGCCTTTTTCATCTATGCACACATAAGCTAATGACTAAAATTCTGCAGCACACCAAAAATACAGTTTTTTGCCAATCTGGCAAATAAAATTTATAATTTTGATTCATTCACATGGGACAGTTATTGTGCTGGCTGTTATTATTTTTTTATTTGACAATCTAAAGGAAAGAGGTTGTGCCCCTGACTGAATAGTCAGGTATTGCATTTTAAAAAATTCTTGTGGAACACCAGTTGAAAATAGAGGCTTAAGAAGATTTAGATTTTCTTGTTTCTTTGTTTGCAACCTCTCTTTCTCTCTCTTTCTCCCTCCCACCTCCCTCCCCCCCTATATTCCCCTATATATATATGGAAGAAAACTGAACTGCTTGGTCAATTTTGGAGGATGCTGGGGAACTATCTCATTATTTCAAAAACTAAACAATAAAGAGAAAGTTTCAAGTATTTATCTTTTCTTTCTTATATGACCCATACGTCAGAGTAGGTAAATAACTATTACTTATTATAAATTCCTTCTAGTAGTTATAGAAGAAATTTCTCCTTAGCATAGTACTAGAGATAAAAATTTAGAAGGAATGATAGAGAGAAAATAACAGATCTGGGTGATGATGCTCAAAGGAAGTGGTTGCAACAAAGTGGGAGACAAGCAACCGACATACGCCTCGATGGCAGGACACGCCATCACCTACAAAGGAGTTTCAAACAAAGAGACAAGAAAACCCAAATCTCTTCAAGCTTCCAGATCTAAACAGCCGTTGTCAGGAAACACAAGGGACAGAAGGTCAGGCAATATGACGGCAATCAGCAAAATCCCGCCTGGGGAAAACGATGAGATGAATGACCCAATTTCTTCATTAAAAATATAAAGTGGGGGAGAGGGGAGGAGAAAGGAAGATGAAACCTACAAAATACAAGAGACATATCAATCAATTGTAAGTTATATATTTGGATAGTGATTCAAACAAACAAAATATAAAAAACAATTATAAGACACTTTGAAGAATGTGAACAGATTGGATATTGACACCAAGGAAGTTATATTAATATTTTAGGTGGATAATGATAGTGTGGCTATAGTTTTATTTCTTGTTTTATTTTTTAAAAATATGTTTTTATTGATTTCAGAGAAGAAGGGAGAGGGAGAGAGACATATCAATCAATTGTAAGTTATATATTTGGATTGATTGGCTGCCTCTCGCATGCCCCCCGACCCGGGGCCCTAGCCTGCAACTCAGGCAAGTGTCCTAACCAGGAATCAAGGAAGTTTTATTAATATTTTAGGTGGATAATGATAGTGTGGCTATAGTTTTATTTCTTGTTTTATTTTTTAATATATGTTTTTATTGATTTCAGAGAAGAAGGGAGAGGGAGAGAGAGATAGAACATCAACGATGAGAGAGAAACATCATTGATTGGCTGCCTCTTGCATGCCCCCCGACCCGGGGCCCTAGCCTGCAACTCAGGCACGTGTCCTAACCAGGAATCAAACCTGTGACCTCTTGGTTCATGATTCAAGGCTCAAGTACTGAGCCACACTGGCTGGGCGTGGCTATAGTTTTTAAATGCCTTATCTTTTAGAGGTCCATGCTGAAATGTTATACACAAATGACATGCTGTCTGAGATGTGCCTTAAAATAATGTGGGGGGGACGAGCAGGTGGGGTTTTAAGTGAATTATGGTTGACAACCCTTTAAGTTGGGTAGTGGGTACATCAGGTTCCTTGCTACTCTTTACTTTGGAATGTGTTTGACAATGTCCACAGAAAAATATTTTGTTTTGCCTTTTTTTTTTTTTTTTTTTAGCTGAGTGTGCTTCCCTTACATTTGTCCTAAGAGCACAAAGGCATTAGTGGAAGAGGACGAATCCTTACCGGTCACAGTCAAAAACGTCAGCGAGATGAGGAGGTTGATGCCCCAGTTCATGCTTGAAGTTAAAGCCATGGCTCGACCTCTGATTCCGCCGGGAAAAATCTCGCTGAGCACCAGCCAGGGCACTGGAGGAAAAGGCAGAGGGGGCAGGGACAGCAAAATTATCAAAAAGCCATTGACACCCAGGGGCGGCCCACGGATCTCTGCCCTAGTCTTGCCTGATTTGTGGTCGGAGAGCAGGGCCATGTGCCTCCGCCTTACCTCCAGCCAAGTGGGGAAGGGTTCAGGAGGAACTCTGAGAAAGCCTGACAATGGTCCCCAGAGTAGGGACGGGGATTTGAAATGCTGTGTGTGACACAGGCCTGACAAATGCAAATGAGAAGGGCAGTGGGTGGGGCCACCTGCCAAGCACAGAACCTTAATGTCAGTGCCTCCGGGCCCTTTCCTGTAATCTCGTTTGCCCTTAACCTTGGAGAAATCCAACATCATAGCTACTGAGTGGGTAGAACATAATACTCTCACTTGTCCTGCTTGTGCTTCCTTGGCCTGGGGCAAGCTAAGTAGAGAAAACCTCTAAATTAAATAGAGCTCCAAGATTTGATTAGCATACCAGACTCAACACATTTGAATCTCTGAAAGGAGACTCTTCTTGGCATGAACACTGATCAGAAGACTTTTTATTATCTGAGAGTGACAGGGAATCTTATAGGACCTGCCTTCCGGACTTAGAAAGGGGAGTCGAGGAGCAAATGAACTTATCTCCTGCTCCCAGCCTATCAAACCGAGTTTGCCTAATAAATTGGCTGTGAGTGCCTACAATGGGCTGAGCAATTTACAAAACTTACCTCATCTGATCTTCACAAAATCCTACCAGACAAGAGCTATTACTATCTGTCTTTTATAGAACAGGAAATTGAGGCTTAAAGAGTTAGTAATTAGCCAAGGTCATGGGGCAGGTAAGTGGCAGAGGTGGCATGAAGCCCTGGCGCCCAGTCTCTGGAACTCATGCTTTTTAATCACGGTGCTGTGATTGGTGGTGGCTCAATAAATATTTGTTAATGAATAATTAAATGCAGAGTTCAAACATAGTTTGATTCTGAGGAAAGGACTTAGGAGCTGTCCAGCCCTGGCTCACTGCTAAGTCACCTTGTGTTGAAAGGCCAACAATTATATATCTACCAGCTGCACCGTCCTAGCCCAGAGGAGGTGGTGGGAGGAAGGAGCCAGAAGCCAGGGAGGGTCCCACCAGCCAGCAACCACCCGGGCCACCTATGCCAGAATCACGCAGTCAGCTGTGCCTCTAATTGAATGTCTTCCATGATACTACCACACTGTAGAAACATCTACTCCTAGTAAATTTGCTGTTTTCAAGTAAGAAAAATAAAAAAATAATAGAAGAGGGCAGGAAAAACATTTTTTTTCTTGTTTATCTTCTCCAAGTAAATTGATATAGGGTTATCTCTAAAGCCTGGAAGAAAATGACCATGATTATTAGTGTTCTAATTCACAAGGAATTCAGAAACATACTTCTATATGACTCCCCTCCACTTCTTGCCCTTCACTAGGTTCTTGCAGATTCTGTCCTTAGAGATCAGTGCAGTGCTCCGGTAGCCTTGCCTGAAGGGATCAAGACTGGGATCTGGCTCAGAGTAGAATGACAACTGCATCATTCTGGTGAAGCCTTTGTAATAACCTGTCCTTGGGTCAAATACAAGATAAAATTATGTAAATCCTACTTTTTGAAGCTAAACAATCTATACCACAGACCAATGTCCCTGTGTCCCTTCCTGACATGGGTCTTTAACATGGTTCATGGTAGAGCAGAGGGCCCCAACAGCCTTTTGCTCTAGCAGCCATGAGGAGGAGGGGAGGGAAGCACACGCTCATTTTCTTTAAGTGAGGGCATTAGCACAGGTTTTCTTTTCTTTTTTAAAAAAATATATTTTTATTGATTTCAGAGAGGAAAGGAGAGGGAGAGATAGAAAAATCAATGATGAGAGAGAATCATTGATCGGCTGCCTCCTGCACACCCCTCACTGGGGATGGAGCTCACAATCCTGGCATGTGCCCTGACTGGGAATCAAACCTTGACCTCTTGGTTCATAGGTTGATGCTCAACCACTGAGCCACGCCAACCTGGCAGCACAGGTTTTCTTGATTTACTTCCATCCCCACCTCATCCCCTCTTAACCCCGTTCTTTCCTTTCCCACCTTTCATTCTGAAGCCTCTTGGAATCATTTAGTGGGACCTGGGGATTATCATTGCTGAGGTCATCAGAGCCGTGTTGGCCACAGAAGAGAATGAGATGGTCCTGCTGTTACAGGAAGTGTGGTCTCGCCAACCAGAAGATGGAACAGATGCAAGAGGTACTAGGTATAAGTGCTCAGTCTGAACTGCCAAGAGCTTGCCTAAGAGCACCCAGTTTCCACACTGAGAGCCTTTCCGAGGCACGTATCCAATGCAGCACCGAGCCACGCCCTCGGGCAGTCTGACCAGTCAGTGGGCAATGCACTGAATATTGAAAGTGACTTCCCTCAGTCTCTCATGGAAACGTGTTGGGCAAACCTTACAGCTGACATTTCAAAAGATAATGTAGCATTGCTGAAAGCTTCTACTTTTTAGAAAGAATTCTGAATTCCTTCTAAATTCTACTTCTCAGAGAAAGAACTCCAGAACTGAAGCCTTGGTTTATCTCATAGACTGGATGTTGCAACAAAATTGATGTGTTTCAACAAGGATAGTTCACCTCCTAATATGGAGTCTAAGTCAAAAATAAGGAGAACATTATTTTAACCATAATTTCAGAACCATAAAATCACAGGTTTTCAGATCCAGAGAGAGTGAAATAAAAACCAAAATGGCACCTGCAGCAAGAGAGAACTTACTGAAAGGGTCAGAGCCTCTCCAGGACTTAGGAGCAAGACAGAGCCAGACTCTCACAGGCCTCCGTGTCCCTGGGCGTGGGCTGTGAGTGCCCAAACAGGACAGGCAGAGAAGCCTTGTTTCAGTTCGTACAACGGTACAGACCCTCACCTGTGGATTTGATATGTTGATATTTATAATGTAAAGTTTCTTAAAACCACTGATGTTTTTTCAAAGGAGATGGCCTAATTTCTCCCCCAAGGAAAATCAAGCTATTCCCACACGCCACAGTAGAGAAGTGGTGGCTCTCTCTGGCTGTCCTCATTGTCCCCTTCCCTGATCATGGCCCACAGGAGGTGCTATGTGCTATTTGCTTGGGAGGAATCCAGAGAGTATCCAGGGACAAAGTGAATGCCTACCGCGAGCTCAACCACTGCAGTTTAGCAGGTCCTGAAACAATTCTCCTTGACCCCTATTATTCCACCTGCAACCCCACCATCCCAGGACTACCTCAGCAATATCTCTCTCTACAAATGTCAGCATCTGCACGTCTTTCAGGTCTTCCCTATGCTGCACGGATTTGCTGGGAGATAACTGTGCACAGATATTGGACTCACATTTCACATGATATTAAATCAGACTGCCTGTCAGAACCTGCCTGGTTCTGATGAAATCTGCAGAGTGTTTATGGCTGCACAGAGTGTCATAAAAAGACCATGATGGGCAATAAGTTAAAGCGGCTCTGTGTGCAGTGGAGGACATGGACCTGGATTAACAGGGGCCGTCAGTGGTAATGACTGAGCCCTGCCACATGTAAACCGCCATGCGCATCCCCTCCCTCCTCCCTGTTGCTGCCACTGGCACAGTGTTTCCCACTGAGGCTGTCAGTTCTCTCCCTGTGCTCCCAGATTTAAACCTTGGGGCGCTCCGGGCACACTTTCCTTTTGGCTGGAGCTCTTCCTGAACCACCTGGTGTGGTAGCCGCAGGTTTGAAAGTCACATGGAAGTTTTGAAACTCTCACCAGAACACTCCTACCAACTTTGGAGGAAGTTCTGTGCTTTGGCTGCAGATTTTTTAACAACTTGATTTGCCCAGGAGCCAATCCTATACTTTGTAGGAGTGAAGCCAAACTCCTACGGTTTCTATCGCCTTTGCAAGTAGCATGCAGCACACCCATCTCTCTCATTGCAAAGGGCTACTTTCATGTGAATTAGAAAGAGAATATACCCACTTTCTTCCAACCAGATGTCTAGGTTCTGGCCTCATAAGTTCCCTAAGTGGGAAAATTACAGTCTTTAAAAAATATATTCCACCATAGGTCACCATCTCCCACATCAACAATGATGTGTTAGTAGCTTTAATTAATTAATTAATTTATTTATTTATTGTATTCTCTCTTCTCTAAATCTCTTTGAGTTTTGTTCACTCCTGGCCTTGTGGGGGGGAAAAATTCGCCCAAGTTGAATTTCTTAAATGACAAACCAAGACATTCCAAGGTGAATGTCACTTACTTCTAGAATTACATGATTCATGTATTCTCTTTAAATAGGTAAAATTTATTGTTCTGAAGAATAATGAAAGTGGATGGGGAGTTGAAGAAATTTTATGATAGTAAAGTCATTCAATTCTTCTAATTAACAACCAAAGTTATTTCTAATATCAGCTGATAACTTGTATAGGTCATACTTCAGTTTTGTTGAAAGCAAATTATTGAAAACATCTAGGCTTATAAAAAGATTATTATCTAGTTATTAGAGTCTTGCCCTAACTGGTTTGGCTCAGTGGATAGAGCGTTGGCCTGCGGACTGAAGGGTCCCAGGTTCGATTCCGGTCAAGGGCATGTACCTTGGTTGCGGGCACATCCCCAGTAGAGGGTGTGCAGGAGGCAGCTGATCGATGTTTCTCTCTCATTGATGTTTCTAATTCTCTATACCTCTCCCTTCCTCTCTGTAAAAAATCAATAAAAATATATTTTTTAGTTATAGGAGTCATTTTTCACCCAACACCTACATCAGTATTTCTAGTCGTCTCTTTAATTAGTGTTTCCGGGGATTTTATAATGTGTGATATGTATCATAAGATTTCTGATGGGCAAAAGGTGTGCTTTCTTTTAAGTGGAAGAACACATAACTGGAGAGAGGGGAAGGAGAAATGTTAGGAAACAGATTTTTTGAAATTCAAATTTATTTCCTTTGAAGTATCATTAAAGGACCATTCTGGAAAATAAAGCCCAGGAGTATGCAACTATGCATATCCTAATT